GCGCAAAAACTTTGTTGACAACCTAATAGATAATATTAACCGTACACATATCCTAAACCCAAATATTCATGCAATTCATATCATGAAACAACCAACAGATCATGTTTTTTAAAGTAATTCAGATCCCACAATGTCGGAACACGAATTCGCGTCGTCTTCACTCCGAGCGTTAAAACATATATTCGTGATCAGCATATGAAACTATACTAAATGATGTATAAATTATATTTTTACAATTAGTTCAATTTTTGCATTGATACTACTTTACATCTGATTATGTTCTGTCAGTGTCGATATTTTGTGTTTCATGCCTAATTTAACACGCAGAAATACGATCATATATGAAGCGTAAATAGTGTATTATTAAGAAATACTATTGTTTACAATCGTCTACAACGGTGGAGGTCAATAAAAGCGATGAAATTAGCCCCCTTCAGAAATTTGATTTCATCTGAGTCAAACTATCGTATTGAATGCCCGCAAGCATTCTCTTATAGAAATAGTCAAATAAAACGATCCAGGTTGCCAAGAATAATCAGGTCTTTTCGTTGACTCACTCCATGACTAAACCGGATGGCTTTCATATGGTTAGATAACATTTTCTGAGCGCTTCAAAATAATATAAATATATTCAGAAAAAAACATTGGCCAATCCACAAAATTTTAAATAAACTGCTGACGAGTCATAATCTTTAGCCTTTTTTACTAGTATTGAGGGCTGTTCTCCCTTGAAAAAATATGATTTGGAAGGATAATAATACGGTATTCTAACTCAGCATGAAAACTGAGTGGATCTAATTATTGATCTGCCATTCAGTGCCCTAATGTCATTCTATTGTCTTAGAGCTCGATTGGTATAGAAAGAATACATATCTGACTGGGTTCGTAATCGTCCTATATTTATGGAAGTGGTCCTATATTATCCTATATTTGAGGGTAAAAGTGGGGTTATGCTGAAATGAGTTGTATTTGATCGTGAAAAGGCACATGCGCTTTTCTCATACATTGCCACTCGTTTCCGTAAAGAACACGTAACACATTGTACGTATTATTTCTTGACTGTTGTATTTGTGTGACTAAAGGGCTCTTTTGGAAAGAAAATGATGAGTATAGAACCGCTACAAAGTACATGATAAGATTTTAACTAAATCTTTCACACATCATCATCAGGAAAATGAACATAGGAAGAAAAGATAACTAATTATATAGTCTGTAAGTGTGAGTATAAGACAAAGAAATTGAAGAAGCAATTTTGCCAGTAGGAACAACGTGCCAGTGAAAGAATCTATTGAGATTGCACTAGATATGTTATATAAGCCAAAGAAAATAGCTGATATACCCTTCAGTCGACAACAAATGAAAAGGCTGGTAGAATTAGCCGTTTGTGATGTACCATTCAGATTTATGAGTAATTATTACGTGCAATCTGATGGAGTAGCAATGGGTCAGCACTTGCACTGATACTTGCAGACCTATTTATGTCAAAACTCGAAACTAAGTTAAACAGATTTTCTACTAATAAACCTTACTAACCCTATAGCTTCAATACGTGGATGATATATTTCGCATATTCACAACAAAACAGAATATTAACCATTTTTTTTTCCTTCGTGTGTTTTTTGTGTGAAGTAAACTTCATTGTATCTACATTTTCATCGATTTGAACACATATCCATATTCAATTCAGTCGATGATCTACACAGAGATGGCCTCAATGGTACTCTAGTGTGTTTTCACCATACTAAACGGTGTTGGTTTAGCGAAAAAGGACGTCCTATATTATTAGAGAAGTCCTATATAAGTCTTTTTTCAAATCCTATATTTTCAGGAAGGGCCCAGATATCTGATGAACCCCTGAGGGGGGTACCAGTGCATGTTTGGAAGAAAACAAAAGGTTTCAAAACAGTTGAAATCGACTTAGGTCCACTGAGGTTTTCATGCTGAGCAAGAATAACATATTATTATTCATCCAAATTATAATTTTTCAAGAGAAAACAGCTCATTTCTAGTGAAAAATGGCTCAAAATTGTACCGCGTCAGCAGTCTATTTAAGATTTTGTGGATTAGCCAATGTTTTTTTCTGGATATTTTTATATCATTCTGAAGATACCAAAACTAATCCGGAACGGGGGAGGAGGGAGCAATACGATTTGCTGATAGCGATGGTGGTTGTTAGTAATCATCGTCAGTAGTTCGGACACTTCAAGGTTATGTGGTCCATGTTCTTCCTATGAAATCATACCACTCAGTTTTTTTTTCCGTCGATATTTTTATCGGATTTTGAAGCGCTTAGAAAGTGTTATCTAACCATATGAAAGCCATCCTGTTCGGTCATGGAATAGGCCGGTGAAAAGAGCTGATTATCACTGGCAACCTGGATCATTTCATTTGACTAATTCTATAAGAGAACACTTTCAGGCACTCCATATGATCTCCTTTCGTATTCGTCGACCGGGATATTACTGGTAACTCTCTCTAATTAATTGATGTCTTCTCATTACTTTTTACCCTATATATCAGTGTTAGTCCCATGTAAACAAGAAACGCAAAATAAACGTGCTCTGATGCGATTTTCTTAAAAGCCTCGTATAGGCGCGATTAAAATAATTTTTGAAATACATCTGGACGCGTTCCACGGTAGAATCGCGTCTGAACAGGTTCAGTGGAAATTTTCTAGACGTCTTCACACGCGCTTTTATTTCAAACCGCGTCTAGGCGCGATCCAATTAAACTTTATAAATATGTTTAGACTTGTTTAATGAACTTGTTAACAACTGCATGTACACGTGTTTTTAAAATGTAACACATCCGAAACGCTTGAGACCACCTGATTAGACGTCCATTCTTTTTCAAACCGAGTTAAATATTCTCTGAACAACGGAATTCTGGAACATGTTTCAGTACTGTAAAAAGTGTTCTGTATTTAGGTTCAGATAAAAATAGAAATACAAGATCATCGAAAATTGATAGAAATTAAAAATGAAATGAAACAATAGTATTTTTGTTTATAAGATTCAATCTACATAAGCCACGACCGACTTCCATAGAAGCTGCTCAATCGAGGTTATCAGATTTTGCTCAATTGAAGATACGTTGTAGAGAGAAGAGTGCTAAGAATTTTGATGCAACCCGTTTGAAAAGATATTGTTCCATTCTTGAGGCATTTTAATTTTTCTGAAAGCACTATTGTCAAAAAAGCACCTTTATGTGATTTTTTTGTGACATCTATATCTCATCGAGGATACATGCGTTTGATTTGAAATTTTTACTGTAAATAGATATCATGATCTATAGAAAAGTCCTTTGAAAATGAGTTAAAGACGAATCATCAATGAGTTTCCTATGAGTCATCACTAGCAACTCTAAAGACCTAATGACTCGTTGATGAGTCATCGAAGAGCCACTGACGAGTCATCGATCAACTCCTAGCTACAGTTTCAGCTCTAAGAACTAGAACTAGTCATCCGGTTCCAGTTTCTGGAAGCTGTTACGTGCTGTCATAGTACTATTCACATGATGAAACTTTTCTATGAATTTCTGAACGAATCCAAGCATATTCTCGATGGAAACGGGGTCATTTTTGGGTCTTTTTCAATAAGGCTCTGCAGGCCATTCTACAAAGATCTCACGCCCAATTCTTACATAACTTTGTAGTACTCAGTGTGTACTTTAAAGCTATACCAACCCGACTTCTATTGATGCCACATTTTGGGAGATTGTTCCCTCTAAAAATCATGGTTTTGGCCGAAATCGTCATTTTGTGAAAGGTCTCCTGAATGATAGGAACTACTTAGAAAGCTGAACTTTTTACTAGAGTAAGTACTCATTGAGATCTCTCCATAGCCAAAATTTCAACTCTCTAACATGATCCGTTCATGAGATATGTATATGCACAAAATACCGAAAAATGACCATTTTACCATGTACCTGGTAGTATGGGTCAACTCATCAATAGGTCATCCACTTGAGCTCATTTTATTTTCGGTAATAAAGAATCATGATATCTATTTACAGTAAAAATTAAAATCAGACGCATGGATCCTTGATGGGATATAGATGTCACATAAAACTACACAAAAAGGTGCTTTTTTGACAATAGTGTTTTCAGAAAAACTTAAATATCTCAAGAATGGAACAATATCTTTTCAAACGGGTTGTATCAAAATTCTTAGCACTCTTCTCTCTACAACGTATCTTCAATTGAGCAAAATCGGATGACCTCGATTGAGCAAGTTCGGTCGTGGCTTATATGGACTGGCTCATATGACTTTAAATATCACTTTTAAATCGTAATCTCTTATGTCAATAATTAATAAATTATTGTCGTTATTCTTATATGTATATATATATGTTAATTGTATATTTCTAAGTTATTCCAATTTTAAATAAAGTTGATTGTTATCCCTATACCTTAAAAATAAAATTTATTTTTCTAAATTGGTCGTGATTAGAAGAAAGTCAATAGGTTTTTTCTCACATGAAAATTCTATCTTTATAAAAGAAAAATATTTCAATGTACCAGATACATCACATTTTTACTTTTATGAAAGTAAATGTTGTTGTGCTGATAACTTCAATATCTCAAATTAGTAATTGAATGCATTCTTTTAGATGAGAAAACATGTCGACCTTGTATAGCTCAGTGGTGCATATACAAGACATCTGATCCGTGGTTCTTATGTTCAAATCTGACTTTGACAGTTAAAGTAAATATTCAATCCGTTAGCCAGGATAGGGTCAGACGGTCATGATATATTGTTGATGGCGCCTCAGTTCGAATCTGAGATGGATTGAAATTTATTTTGCGAATTTTGCGAATTTGGTTTTGAAACGGATCTAGATGCAATTTTTTCTCGAAATGCGTCTAGACGTAAAAAATTTTTCACTCGAGATGCGATTTCAAGAAAAATCGTGAGTAGACGCGTTTTAGAACTAAATTGCGCACAAGCTGAGTTCAGAGGTGAATCATTTTCGAAGGTCGAGCTGTTGTTCATTTCTAGATGACTGCAATCGGTAACGCTACGATGGATTCTCACGGTGGAGGAGAACATGCGATTGGTACAGTGATTTTATTTTTATCATTTGCTGTCTTGGCTGGATGTATATGCAAATTAATACTTTCACAAATATTGAAAAATAAATTTCCTGCTCCATTCACAGTAATCATACTAATTTTTGGCTTCAGTATCGGTATGATTATTGCCCATATTTATGGTATTAGCAATGACTTTTTACTTGGTGAAAAAGAATTGAGAGAAATTAATCCTCATCTTATTTATTACATTTTTTTACCGTTGCTGATATTCGATTCCGCTTTTAACAGTCGTTTTCATGTTATTCGACCACAAATCATATCTGCTATACTTCTAGCCGGTCCGGGCGTGCTCATTTCTATTACTATTGTTGCAGTGTTTGCCACCTATATATTTCCTTATCATTGGTCTTGGCTAGTTAGTATAATGTTCGGAAGTATTCTGAGTGCAACGGATCCCGTTGCTGTTGTGGCATTACTACACGAATCAGGAGCGAGTAAATCATTAGCAGCATTGATCGATCTTGAATCATTATTGAATGATGGTTCTGCCTTTGTCATCTTTATGATTTTTCGAGATATTGTCGTCGGTAAAAGTGATAGTGCCAAGAAAATTATTATTGATATCGTCAAGTTCACTATCGGTTAGTAGAGTTTGATCAGAATCGTTCTTTGTGATGACATCGTTCGGAAATTGTCTGTTGACATTCTAGGTGGTCCAGCTTTTGGCATTGCCTGCGGCATCATTGCTGTAATCGTTCTGAATATGGTCCATAATAAACTCGAAGTCGAAATTATATCGACTTTTGGTCTTGCCTATCTAATTTTCTATGTTGCTGACGTTGAACTCGGTGTTTCAGCTGTCTTGGCACTGGTGGTCATGGGACTTTTCATGGCCAAACACAAATATTGTATCAGTAGTCATGTGCAACTTCCAATGGCCAATACTTGGCGCATCATTATTGATTTTGCAAACATTCTCATTTTTAACATTACTGGTATTATTTTGGCCCACTCACTGATCGGCACGAAAACAACTATTGTCGCACGTGATTTTGGATTTTCTATTCTATTGTATATTGCTCTTCATCTCGGACGTCTATTATCCGCCATTGTACTCTATCCATTTATACGTTGGAGTGGTGTGCGCCTATCTTGGAAAGAACATATGGTTCTGATTTGGAGCGGTTTAAGAGGAAGTATGTCCGTTATTTTAGCTTTGATGGTTGACTCCGAAAATCAAATCGATATCGAAACGAGACACCGTTTTCTTTTTCATATATGTATGATTACCCTTCTTACACTGATTATCAACGGAACAAGCAGCAAGTTCTTAGTAAGACTTCTCGGCTTGGATCACGGTATGTACATTAGTTATTGACTTGTTCAATTCAATTTTTTCACTATTCATTACTGTCGAGCAAGTAGCGCGTGGCTCACTGATACAACGATTATTTCAGACTGAGAATAAAAAGTGAAGCTCACGAGGGAACCTCTTGAGGTGATTAAAAGCTTTTCGACTCAGACTATTTTCATCATGTAGGGAATAGTGAGTAGTGAAAAACCCCAAGTTGGTTTGGGCCCATGCGCCTTTTTGACGGAGATATGAGTTAATTAATGAAAATGCCATTAATAATAATTAATT